TCCTATATCAACGTTGCGATCACGAATTCCGTTGACACCGCTTTATGTCGCGGCAATAGTATATGATGGGCTTGCTGCGCCTCTCAAAGAACCTATCGCAGCGATATCCAACACCGCATGCTAATTCACGCTACGATGTTTATGCAGTATTGAATTCCTACCTCGATGTTCAGTATATTACGGTCATCCCAACGATGCGATTGTAGTCGAGTCAAGTGCAAGAAGTACATTAATTAAAATCTAAGGATATGCACTTATTATTACAGCACGAATTCGTTCCTTCACAGAATGTGAGATTTACTAACAAGGAATGAATTGCACAGAAATTTGTTTCTATCACAAGAGAGGTATTGACAAAAGTAGAATTGGGATGAACTGAAGCAGCAATCTGGGTTGACTATCGTAAGGCATTCGATAGGAGGAGTCATGAGCTCATTTTTCTGCTATTGGAGTGCCTTGCAGTAGAAGCCAACATAGCGAGATGAATTGAAGATTTAACACCACCCTGGAAAACGCTTCACCATAACATCAGGTGAGGGCAAGTTGACTTCAGGATTGATGTAATTCAGGAGAGGAATCTATCAGGGTGATACCCTGAGTCCTCGCCCGTTCAGCATCTTACTGATGCCGCTATGTATCGCTCGGCACTGTTTAGGTAGGTAGCAAGCCGGACGACCTGGTGAGAGAAGGCATCAGGTAAGTCACATATTTTATATGGATGACCTGAAATTAGTTGCCTCACGAGAGCGACAACTGAACCTTATGCTTAATGTAGTTGCAATGTACTCATCGAGAATAAAGTATCCGCACCGAATATGTTTGCTATTCCGATGCTTCTCAATTCCTTTGGCGTGCTCAAGTAGATGAACTATTGGGAACTCAAGTTTGGATGAACTGAAGCAGTTGGATAGAGATATCCGCAAGCTGATGAACATTGACAAGTCTACATTCACGCTCTTCATTTCCGCGATTGCGTTTTTTTGTGAGAGAGTGAAGGACAAGGACTTCTCAGTTTAGAGTCTAAGTGTTTTGTCCTTGTTTAGCTTGTGGCATCATGAATGGCCTGGACCCACTTTATGAGTTCATGCATAACGATGAAATCCATGATATTCAGGCCTTTCTCTACAAGGCAGCGGTTGACGGAGCTGCTTATCTTGGCTTAGAGTTTGGCCGTGGTCAAGATGGTCATGATTAAGTTTAAGTTTACGACAACCTTGTTATCAGCGCGTAGATAGACCCATGCAGGGCGGTTTCTTCCGTCATACGGAAGGGCAGAGTTTTCGTTTTTGAAGTCAGCTGGCTTAATGTCTGAGATGGTGGGTTTCATCTGTGGATGCCAAGACGGTGTAATAAATACATTAGTCTATCGAAGCCGTATTATGGAGTTTCCAAATTTCTGGTGCTCGGTGTCAGTGACATCGCGATCTCGAGTTATATTCATTGACATAACACGACTTGCAGAGTGTTGTACTACCACCTGCGATACTCTTATGGCATAGACATAATGCCGATATTGCCTTATGTTCCAGGAGATATAGACGTGCATGTGAGGTGTAAGATCTATTAGAAGTTTTCGTTTGCGACCATTAGGTCTGTTGTTGCAACAAAGTCTGATATCGTCCTCTTTGCTTTTGATGATAAAATAATCTATGTCATTGAGTTCTCGGCTCCGGTTGAGAGCAACATCTGAGTGAAGGAGAAGTGGCTCAAGTACCAATCACTCCTCTTTGAGCTACGTCAGTTAAATCGGGGCGTAAAAGTTAAATTGATTGCTTTTATTATCGGTTCTTTTGGGGGCATGATGCAGTCTGTCGTATCGGCGCTTGAAAACATCCCGGCCTAGAGGCGGAATGCCTTCATATTAGCTAGCCATCAGAAGGCGGTCATCCGTCCGTCTGCTGGTTCTGGACTGCAGTAGAACTGACCTTCTGGTTAGAGGGAGCATTACTGTAGAACGATTAAGGGGACGATTACGATAACCTGGGCGACAAATTTTGACGATCTATTTCGATGTATTTTTGCCCAAGAAAACCGAGAAAAATACTTTAAAAAATCTATCTCGAGTATTTATTGCGATATTCATCATTTTACGTATTATTTTAGCAGAAAATTGTCATTTTCTTGACATTATCATACGTAACAAAACGAGAATTCAATTCGTGAATACATGCATATATTCTCTCAATTTTTCATGGATCTGAGATATTTTCATACACAAAAATATCAGAAAATATGACGTGAATAGAAAAAAATGGAGATAATGACATCAAATGAAGTAAAAAACTAATATTCCCCATCCAAAAATTTATTACCGAGGTGAGTTCTGTGATTAGTACCGTCCCATCAAAAACATGCAATTCATCGACGAATCAATCAGGAATAATAATAATGGGGGGGGGGTGAGGGTTGTAAGGATGAGGAAAAAAGAAATACCGCAAGTACTGACATATGAATAAATAATTTACTGTTTCACTAGAATTTAATTTATAATTATAGTACCACTCATTATGTAACATGTTTACAAACGATGTCATCATAATTTTTCTGCTTTCCCTCATAAATTCATAATAACATATCATTTTTGAAAAAAATTAACTGCAATTATGAGAATTATCATACGAATAACAAAACAACAAAGCTTATTGACGTACTATAAAAATATTACACGTTTTTTCAGTCTTTCATTAGTATACTTATTCTAATTCGAATATTAATATTATATGAAAAAAGTTACTATCAATTGCCAAATAATCTCCAAGATTCAATACGATCAGTCTCTGGGCTGTTTACTCGGTCGAACCTTAGATGTTTTATGGTTTTTTTTTAAATCTCCAAGATTGGAAGTGATAATTCAATTCAATAAGATAAAGTATTGTCTGAATCATTAATCAATACTTAATCAATAGCAAATGAAAGATTTGAGCTAACTCATGATAATTAAATAAAAAACTAAGTAATGAGGGATTCGTAATTAATTTGAAGTTGTTGATTAGGACTATTAAATAATTATTTCAATAATATGTGACTTCGAAAATGAAGTTGACAATCATTTTTCTTATTTTTACTTGGCTATTCTCTTCTGAAATTACCTTTTACACAGCTGAATCATAAATTTCAACATTGAAACAGTCAAATAGCTTGAAACGATTTGCCTTCCGTGTAAAATTTAAAGTAGGGATGACCGGGGCAAAGCGGACCGGGTAGAGGGCGGATGGCCGGGGCAGAGTGGGATACGTGAAAAAAAGGCCAAAATTAAGAAATTCAAGGAATTTTCGAGGGGTCGATCAGGGATCAATAAACGTAAAAAAAGCTAAAGAAACTTGAATAAAACTAAGGAAAAATTGAAAAAAACGGAAGAACTCTGCAAATGCTTTTCATTTTTAATTATTTTTTCGTCATAAATAACCACCGGGGCATAGTGGGGTACTCATATTTTTTTTTTTTTTGGAAATGAATCATCAATCAATCAAAAAAAATTGCCAATAAATCATTAATAAAATTGAATTCTCCCAATAACAATTTTTTGAACATATTCCAACTATTGATCAGGAGTCATTGACAAAAATCACATACACAGTTGTCATCGAATTCACAATCGACCCCGGAATACGAGCTATATTTTGACTGTTATATTCTAACCATTATATTTTGACTCTTGTATTTTGAGCCTTACGGTCTATTCCTTATATTTTAACCCTCATTTTTGACAATATATTCCGATTCTCACATTCGGACCCTTACACGGAGAGAAATGTTCAGTAAAAATTACGGAACTCACCAATTCCCTCACTGATTACGGAATCGACTCAGAAAATTTAAGTGACAGTATCGTAATTTTTAACTGGAGATTCAGGTAGAAATTACGGAATGCTCTGGAAAAAATCCGTGATTTTAGGTAAAAATTACGTACAGTTCCGTGAAATTTCCTACAACTACATTTCCCTCCGGACTTACGGAAAAGATACGTAATTTTTATTGAATATTTCTCTCCATGTATATTTTGACCCCGGTGACTTTATTATCCGACCCTTAGAGTTTGAACCTTATATTCAGACCTTTATGTTCTGACCTCCTACATTATAACCCTTATATTTTGACTCGTAAATTCTGACCGTTATACTTTGGCACTCATATTTTGACCCCGATGTCTGAGGCTTATTTCTAACCTTTATTTCTGACACACATTTTGACTGTCATTTCTGATCCCGGTTCTGATTTTTTCTAAACTCGACGATTGTTTCTTTTTTTTTTATCGTTATTTTACATCGCTTCGACCCGGTTAGGATATACTGCGATGATGATCAAGACTAAATGGTTAGATCGCACCATTCTACCTGGCCGGGATTTGAACTCGGAACCTTTCGCATATGAGACAACGAACTTGCCCACTGCACCAAGCCACCGGGGATGATTGTTTCTCTGATCTTTTCTAAAATAATTACAGGGACAAATGTAAACACATTCACAATGTCCGAATGAACAGAAAAAGGGAATCGATCAAGAAGTTATCGGTTCGCCGCATATAATGGGTCATACCCACTTTCAGCAACGTATATGGCATATATTTTAATCATCAGATATATTTCGGCCAAAAATGCTGTATGTGGTATATGTCACATATATGCGAAAATATACTCTGAAATATTTGCAAAAAATAGGTCATTTATATGTAAAAATTATATGTGAGATATATGTAGAATATATGTAGAATATATGTAGAATATATGTTACTATATATGTCCCTGATATCCAGAGCTTATAATCTACATATATGTGGGATGTGTGTATCATATATTCTGAATATATGTTAGATATATTCGGAAAATATAAGCAGCATATACTTCTGATATATGTTACATATATCCCAGCTAGGTATGATATATATGTCGCATATATGTACAGGATGTTCCACTGCTGAACGTATCGAATCAAGTATTCGAATATCACGTATTCGAATCAAGAGTCTGACGACTTTTTCACCTCGATACTTCGATACTTCATCAATGAGTCATTATTACTCTGGCTTTCCTGCAAGCCTTTGTATTTCTCCAGCGGTTGGTCTGCTCCCGTCGGAGTTTGTCTCTGATGGCTCTGTTGCCCATGGCTACGGGGACTCCGACTGGTTCCGCTTCGGTTTCACTAAGTGATCCTTGCTTCGCCAGTCCATCCGCCACCTCATTGCCATGAATGTCCTTGTGTCCTGGGACCCACGCCAGAGTCACCCTGTTGTGTCTTCCGAGCCTTTCCCGCACTTCCATGGTCTCCCAGACTAACTTTGAGTCAGCACTGGGTTTCATAAGTACTTTGATGGTGGCCTGACTGTCTGACCAAATATAAATATACTTGTTCATCGTCTGCCGATCCTCCAGTAGTTCTACGTATTTTTTAATAGCCAGAACTTCTACTTGAAAAACTGTGGCAATGACCCCTAGGGACCAACTGCTCTTGTATTGTTCTGCCGCCTCATACAGTCCCGCATCGAGGCGGTCTTTGTATCTCGAGCCGTTTGTATACCAGTGCTTGACATTAATACCTGGTGCCCTATTTATAGCTTTTCAGTTTATCCTCTCAGGAATATAGGTCTAAAAGGCCTTTCTGATCTAGTATTTCCTGGCCATTCTATCTTGGGCCATGTTCAAGGGGGTTTTCCTAAGGATATTCAGTCTGGCGTGTGCCGTCCTCGCCTGAACCCATTCCCCCTGGTACATAAGCCTTATGCAGCTGATTCTGCCTTGCTCACCACCAGAAGATCACGTGGTGGTAGGTCAAGAGCGACTTCCAGTGCGTCGATAGGTGTCATTCTCAGGGCCTCGGGTGCCGCCCTCAGGAAGTTACCCTGGAGGGCCTTTCGCCGGTTCCTTATCTCCACCTTCTCCGCCCTGGGCCACCAGACCAGAGCGGCATACGTGAGCCGCGGCAGCAGAACCATTTTGTACAGCCACATGCTGATTTTAGGACTGAAGCCCCAATTTCTACCCATGGCTCTTCTGCATGCCCACAGAGAGGCATAGGTTTTGCCAATCTGTGACTTTATATGCTCATTCCATTGGAGCTTCGGGTCTAGTTGAATCCCTGGGTACCTTACTGAGGTAGCGTAAGCAATTTCCGCTCCCCCAAACCTCAGTGGTTCAGGAGTCACAACTTTGTATTTTCTGGTGAATATCATGGTGGACGTCTTCTCAGGGTTAATTGATAGTTTTGTCTCACCACACCATTCTTCCAGCGTTCTCAGAGAATACTTTAGTCTATCTCTCAGCACATTGAGAAACTTGCCCCTGGCGATGATATCCACGTCGTCAGCGTAGCCATATACCAGGAGACCTTGTTCTCTGGCAACTGTACAACTGCACCTTTTACAAGCCTACCGACGAGCGACCCCACCAAATATAAGTCTACCTGTACAACTGCACCTTTTACATCTCTACCAAGTGACACCCTCACCCACACGATTTGAATATTTACAACTCTACCGCGCGAACATTACTACCCAATGATTCGAGAAATTTACATCCCCACCGTGGTACAAACCAATCAGCGCACGAGTCGACCCGATGATGACTCAGCCCTGTACAACTGCACCTTGGGGCAAGCCTACTGAAGTACAATTATCACCGGTCAAGCCTACCACGTTACAGCCTTACCGTCCTAAATTCTGTACAACTGCACCTTGCGACAAGACTACCCATGTGATAGTCTATCCGTTTTAACCCCTACCAAGGATACGTGTCCACCCAAAATACAACCCCACCGATTATGTCTGGATAATATATCTCTTTCACTTTTATTTTGGAGAAATTTTCGGAGCGGTTCGTATTCGCCAACACGAGGTTGTCCGCCAGAAATTATTATTTATAAATAAATGGCGATGGCAAATCGATTGTAACCCGTTTGCAGGTGAATATAATGCATTTTTTAGAGTTTGTGAATCACTCAATAAATTATTAAATTAATAAATCTAATGACGCATGAAGTTGTGATGTTTTTGAATAAAAACAGATAATTCAATATTTCTCTAGCCTCCGCGGTCTGATTGGCCACCATTAAACTGTACGTATATTCCAACGTGCGCTGACTAGAGATGCAAAATGACCGTCATTTTTTAAATCGTGTCATATAACACCAAAAAATTACGGTCATGTGACGCATTCGCACTCTTAAACGTTGAAAATATTAAATTTATAAACTATTAAATTTATAAAAATTGAATTGAGCAATTTTTAATGAAATTTTGGCTAACTTCATGCGTCATTAGATTTATTAATTTAATAATTTATTGAGTGATTCACAAACTCTAAAAAATGCATTACATTCACCTGCAAACGGGTTACAATCGATTTGCCATCGCCATTTATTTATAAATAATAATTTCTGGCGGACAACCTATTGTTGGCGAATACAAACCGCTCCGAAAATTTCTCCAAAATAAAAGTGAAAGAGATATATTATCCAGATATAATCGGTGGGATTGCATTTTGGGTGGACATGTATCCTTGGTAAAGGTTAAAACGGGTAGACGTAACTGTTGGTGGGGTTATTTTCCTGTAAGGGTGTCAGGAGTCACTATCACATGGGTACTCTTGTCGCAAGGTGCAGTTGTACAGAATTTAGGTCGGTAAGCCTGTAACGTGGTAGGCTTGTCCGGTGACAATTATACTTCGGTAGGCTTACCTCAAGGTGCAGTTGTACAGGGCTGAGTCATCATCGGGTCGATTCGTGCGCTGATTGGCTTGTACCACGGTGGGGATGTAAATTTCTCGAATCATTGGGTAGTAATGTTCGCCCGGTAGAGTTGTAAATATTCAAATCGTTTGGATGAGGGTGTCGCTGGGTAGAGATGTAAAAGGTGCAGTTGTACAGGTAGACTCGTATTTGGTGGGGTCGCTCGTCGTCAGGCTTGTAAAAGGTGCAGTTGTACAGTTGCCTACCAGGAGACCTTGTTCTCTCAGTTTCTCTGGGAGCTCGTCCACCACGAGGCACCACAGGAGTGGAGACAGAACCCCACGCTGCGGACACCCGGCGACGGGGCAGCCCTCCACTTTTGCTTCGTTGTGAGCTGCGGTTAGTAACCTGCTCGCCAACATGCTTTATATCCAGTCAATGATAGTCTCTGAGAAGCCTCTCTTTGACATGGCTTCCATTATGACATCGTATCTAGTACGATCTAAAGCTCTCTCGATGTCGAGAAAGATTCCCATTGCGTAGCCCTTCTACTCTATCTCTTCCTCAACTTTTGTCACAAGGTGGTGCAGGGTCGTCTCGGTGGACCTCCCCTCCCTATAGGCATGTTGCGCGGAGGACAGAGGTCGGTCTATCAATAGTGAGTTGACCATACTGGCTCTGAGTATTTTCGTGGGTGGGCCCAAGATGATGTTCATCCCCTTTTGCAAAAGCACTGGGTAGATATCATCTGGTCCTGGTGCCTTTAGGGGTTCGCAGGACTTAATCGCCCATTCTACCCCCTGTGGATCCACGATTTTGGCTGCTAGAGCCCAATCTCGCGATTTGTATCGGCTTCCAGTTACCCTGGGGGCCTGTTGTAAGCCGTCCTGTCTGGTGAAGCCAGGAAAGTATCATTTCAGAGGAGGGTATCATTTCAAATGGACTGAATAGTGTAGAAGAAGCGGTCGCGCCTTGTGAAGCATTGAATACTTCCACCGAATCACAATTGATTATAGAGAACAATAATTTTTTGGAGCCAATGAATCAGGCAATTATTGCCGAAACGGAAATAAATATTGTTGAAGATTCCCCAATGCATGCGAGTGAATGTCAGAATCTTCGGGATAGGAATGAGGAATTTATCGTTGCCTCTGAAGAAAGTGAATCGGAAAGTTCTGAACCTCCCCGAAATCGACGCAAGTTATCGTTGGGGAAATCCCGCCAGAAATTCGATTTACGATACAAAAAAGCCATTCTATCAACATATAATTTATTGGAGGAACACAGAAAAAATGGTTCACTCATCTCCACCAACACACCTACAGAATTGACTGTTCATTGTTTTGAAATTTCCGATCGTAGTGTAAGACGCGTTATTGCTGAAAAAAAAGTACGGTTTCCTCTCTGAACCACGGAAAAGAAGCGGTCGCTCTCGCATATCTTGTGATGAATTTTTCGTTGGCGTCATACGTAGAAAAATTCTAGATTTTTATGTGAATAAAACATATCCGACTATAGAAAAATTGCCTAGAAATTTGAAAAACGATGTTGCCGATTTTCCCAATATGAGTGACGTAACATTGTGGCGTATAGTTAGACGGATGAATTTTAAATATAAAGCATATAATCGGAAGCCAGTCCTCATGGAGAGTCCAGAAATTGTGCGAAAATGTCGAGAGTTCTTGAATCAAATTAAAAAATATAGAGACACGGGTTATAAAATTTTTTATACTGATAAAACTTGGTGCGGTGCTAATCACACGAAAAAATTTGGGTGGGTAGAACATACTTCATTCGAAGAAAATGTAGACAGTTTTGATTTTTACCGATCACGAGTCTAGCATGTATCTTCTTTGCGAGGGGGATTTCTAGTTTCGTCTGGTGCAGGCAAGAGGGTTATTATAACTCATATTGGAAGTGAGGATGGATTTTTAGAAGGAGGCATGGATTGTTTTGTTGGGAAGAAAGATGGGGATTATCACAATGAAATGAATTCAGAGCATTACACAGAGTGGTTTACGAAGATCTTGCCCGCAAAATCGGTAATCGTCATTGACTTAGCTCCATATCATACTACACTCGATCCTGAAAAACGTAATCCAACAAAGGCGTGGACAAAAGCTGCCACCATTCAATGGTTAATTGAAAGAAATGTACCATTGCCATGGGATATCATTTCCTTTGAAACATTAACGAAAGTTCAACTTTATAATTTAGCTAAACCTCATTTTTTTGAGAAATCTCATTTTTATCTTTTGGATAAAATCGCGAAGGAAAATGGCGTAAAATTATTGTGGCTTCCAGTCGCTCATTGCGAACTCAATGCTATTGAGTTGATTTGGGCAAATGTGAAAAGTCAAGTTGCTCTTCAGAATAATACTTTTAAAGTCAATGACGTGTGCCGACTATGCGAGAATGCAATGAATTTAGTGACGAAAGAATTATGGAAAAAATGTGTGGAGCATGTTCGGAAATTGGAGGATAAATATCGTGAAAAAGAAAGCATGATGGCCATGCATGTGGATTCATTTGTTATTCACGTAAGTGATGATGACTCTGATTCCGAGGAAACACTTTATTTTTCAAGTTCAACTTCAGAATAAATGAGATTTTTATGAAATAGTGAAATCATATCTGTGAATTACAATCATCTTTAAAAGTGTATAAATAGAATTGTGAATTTGAAAAAAAGTGGTAAAAAAAATGTTTATTTATCAAAAGTATTTAATCCATCGGCCCTTTTCAGGGCCTCCAATTGTTTAAACGTACGAAACTCGTTCATTCATTTTTCCATTTGAAACTGAACGTGGTCAAACCCTCATCATCGTCAATCGTATTGTCGATTTTTTCTGTGGTCGTACATAGAATAAGCTGCCATCCCAAATTTCTTCAGATTTTTTTACGCATCCTCCGAGCTCTGTTATGTTTTTCTCCAAATTTTCCTTTCAAAGGCTTGTAATTTTTGTATAAGTCGATAAACCTAATTTTTTTCCCTTTACAAAATGGAGATCTTTTGACACACTCTCCATATAGATAGAGACAATTTTTATTTTATCGTTCTTTCGTCGATTTCTTTAGAAAAACCTTAAAAAATATCTAAAAACGGCTAATTTTGAAATTGGAGTTTTTTAATTTTTTTCTAAAAATTTCAGTGAATACATTGGATCAAAATAAATTGTCACCGGAGGCCGAAGTGGAAATCCCATGGCATAGTTTTGATTTATAATTTGAACATAAATATGAATTCATGATGAATGACTACAAAAGTTCCAAAATTTGATTTTCCAGGTGCGAAAGGTAACCCTATAGTAAAATCATGAGGATTTGCGGCTAGCATCATAATGTGTTTGCCGGAAAAATTCAAGAATTTTTATAAAATGTTTGGAATAATTTACATAATTAAAAATCATTGGAATCTTTTTAGTTTTTCATTTCACGTCGTAGGATATTTTTTTCAATTCCGTGGGTTGATTCCAATTGAAGATAGCCTCATGTCATTTTAATTTACAAAAAGGAAAATTATTGAAAAAATCGATTTTTTTTCTCCACTGCTCAATTCTTGACGGTGCGAATTATCATATCGCGTGCTAAGTGGAAAAAGGTCGTATTGACCATTTTGATAATTTTAGGTCAACGAAGTGGAAAAAGGTCGTATAAACCTAATCTAGGGACTATGAAATCTGAACGATTTGCGCTCTTTAGAATCATTTGAACCCAACTTTTGACGACATTTTTTTTGTGCATATGACCTTTTTCCATAAATCTGCCTCCAATATTGGAAAAATGAAAAATAATCGTGTTTCCCACAAAAATTTAATTACGTACAAGAATTTTTCCATCACTGGCGTCTGCAGGATTTCGTCTTCCATCTGGAAGAAGAAAAATGGAAACAATAATGAAATTATGAGTCAGCTCGCACCACCCAGAAAAATGAATTATTTGAATTGAATCAACTTTACTTGCATCGAATAAATACTTTATTAAAATTAAATAAACGAATTATGTCATTAAAATAAAGTTTATTCAATTCAAATAGATCATTTTTCTGGGTGGTGCGAGTTGACTCATAATTTCACTGTTGTTTCCATTTTTCTTCTTCCAGATAGAAGACGAGATCCTCCAGACGCCAGTGATGGAAGGGCAACATTGCTAAGAAGACGTGCCCATTAATCTAAAAAATATCTCTGTATCTAGATCTCATTTGGTCCGTAAATAAAGACGTGTTTTACAGCTTTTTTAATGCAAATTCTNGGGAAACCTTGCCAAGGAGGCTGCCCGTTAATCTGAAAAATAACTCTGTATCTAGATCTCATTTGATCCGTAAATAAAGACGTGTTTTACACCTTTTTGCTTCCGAACGGGAAGCATTGCAATCGACCGATTTTCACATTCTCTAATTTTGATTGGAAACGATGTAGAATGGTCTGAAACGTAAAAATACGAAGTTTGGGCACCATGTTTGTATGTGAACACCTCCAGGGCCAGATGTCCTTTTTGAAAATTAAAAGAATAGTGGGGTAAAATAATTCAAAAAAATATGAAATTTTGCACGATTATAGGTCTTCTTAAGGACTAACTCTGTGCACGATTTCAGCTCGATTGGCCCAACTGTTTTTGAGAAAAAGCTATTTGTTTGTGAATCGTCGTTCGCGAATCTCTCCAAAACTAGTGGACCAATTTCAATTTGTCTTTTTTCAAAATATTCGTCTTAATGTCCTCGATCCAGATCATCCAAAGCATATATAGCCGTCCATATTAAGTTTTCGACACATTCCCGATTTTCTGTCTTTTCATGAAATACTTTGTACGCACTCGAGCCTTCGCAAAAATTGGAATATCAACTTGAAATTTGAACAGAATCTTTCCCTTGTGATAAGGAAGACTGGTATGGAAGATGGGCTCAATCGGTCCAGTAGTTTCGGAGATATTCAACTTTTTCTGAAAACCTATTATGGGTTATGTCTCAAAAACTACGCAACCGATTTCAATGTGTCTTTTTTTTCAAAATATTCATCCCAGTGTCCTCTATCTCGATCAATTAAAACGTATGCGCGCTCTAGCCTGTGTGAAAATTGAAATATCATTATTATTAACTTGAAATTTGGACAGACGTTTCTTCTCGTGACAATGAAAGTTCGTATTGAAAATGGTTTCGAGTTTCGTTCCTTCCTTTATTATCATCACGTGTTCTTCCACAGGTAATTTTGTCAGGATAGGTGAGATATCAATTTGTAGAGATACTAGCGATATTTCGTATGTATACAGCGCTTCACATCATGATTTTACCATTTATTTAAATAAATAACTATCATGATGAAGTAAAAGATTGATCAGAAAAATTTTGTTGTGAATTTTTGGAAACAAGAAAAAAATTGTGGATAAGAGAAAATCTAATAGTGAAATAATTCGAAATTTTGTGTCTATTTCCGATCTGATGAGAAAAAAAATGATCAAACATTACATATTTCCAAGTTGCTTCATTCATAGTGATCTGATGATCTCTATTTTTAACGTGATTGCTACGGATCCGTTCGGAAGTATGCTACCAATGGAATTGGTAGAAATAAAAAGAAAGAAGACAACTAATGAAAAAAGTAATGGCCAAATGTCTCCTGCCGAATAGGCTCGGCCAACTGCTTGTTTTATCCAAATTCTTGTACGTAATTAAATTTTTGTGGGAAACATGATTATTTTTCATTTTTCCAATATTGGAGGCAGATTTATGGAAAAAGGTCGTATGCGCCAAAAACAAAAAAGATCCTCAAAAGTTGGGTTCAAATGCTTCTAAAGAGCCCAAATCGTCCAGATTTCATAGTCCCTAGATTAGGTTTATACGACCTTTTTCCACTTCGTTGGCCTAAAATTACCAAAATGGTCAATACGACCTTTTTCCACTTAGCATGCGATATAAAAAATTGGGATAATTTTGGAAATAAAATTGGAGTGCTGAGAAAAGACCGAAGTTTATGAACTCTCACGGCATCCGAAAAACATGGGTTTTTTCATATTTCAAACAAGATAGCGCAAAAACTATCCGATAAAAATAACTGAAACTCCATACTGGACAAGAGGAATAGTGAACCTAACGAATGAGATCAGTCCCGTATTGATGCGATTTTTTTTCTCAAAGATATGACCCCTCAAAGTTTGCGGACTACACTTTTGAAAAGGATAGTAGACTGGCGCTTCCCTGCCCCTCCAGGACTTTTACTAGCCTAGAGGCCTCGGAGAGACTCCCGATTCCACTGCTGAACCTCTTCCAACCCTCATTCCTGGCTTTGACCAGGGCTTTGTTGTATTTCCTCTGGAGACACCTACGTTCTTCCATCGCTTGTCTCTTACGTGAGTTTCCGTGAGTTTTTAACCCTGTTCCATGCCTTCCTCAGTTGGTCCCTCAGGTGTGCTAGCGTGTCATTCCACCAGCTCACCTTTTTGATTCCTTTGTGCGTGCGTATATTACAGTTGTTTTCATAGGAACATCTGATCGCCTCTCCAAAACATTCGGCTGCGTATTCCAGTCGTTTCTTGTTTTTAAATGGGCAGGGTACATCCTGGATCCTCAGTGAAAGGTCCGCTTTACATCCCTCCCAATCTGTGTTCCTTGGATTTCTCTTTTGGATGGGGTCCACTTTGTCAGTTAGACTTAGGCGTATGATCTGAATCCGAGAGTTCCCTGGAGACCCTCCAGTCCCTTACTAAGTCCGCCATGCCTGTTGTACAAATGGTTATGTCCAACACTTCCTGTCTTCTGCAGTCCATAAAGGTCGGTTCATTTCCCCTGTTCAGAAGTAGAAGATCGTTCCCCATCATGAAGTCGTGTAGAGCTTCTCTCCTTGCATTCGTGTTTGAGCTTCCCCACCCCAAATGGTGGGAATTAGCGTCACATCCAAGTAGGAGTTCCAGCCCACCGTCCCTCACTTTGTTTATAAGACCCTCCACCTCTGGCGTCGGGGGGAGTTCTATGAAGTCATAGGGTAGGTAGGCTGACCCTATCATGCACTTCAAGACTCGGTTTTCCCGTGTCAGGGCTTTTACTTTGGCTACTGCCAAGTTCTCTTCACTGAGTTGAGGTAGGAAGGTGGCTTCCATCCCTTTGATGAGGATGCAAGCCCTTATCCTGTTCTCCCTAGGGTTCACGTGAAGTAACTTCCCACAGCCCCCTAGGCCTCTTATGGTCCCATCCACTAACCAAGGTTCTTGGATGAGAGCTATAGTTGGCTGCATCTTAGCAAGCGTCCTGCAGAGTATAGCTGAAGCGCTTTTGCTATGATGCAAGTTAATCTGGACTATTTCGATCGACCTGTGAGCCATCGTTCAACTCACTTGTCATCTTCTGTCGCCCCTGTACCCCCACTGCGGTTCTTCTCGAGCATCTTGACCGATGCTCTTTGAGTCCCCCAGTGGGGTCTGAAGTTGTAGGCTTTTAGGGCCCGCCGTGTTTTCTCACCAACGAGGGCAGCGAAGTGGGCGCTCGAAGCTCCCGTACTCTCGCTGCCCTTGACCACTCGCCAGTCATCCGGTGATAATCCTGGGTTTTGCCTGCCCATGAGTTTAATTACCTCCTCGGCAGTCACTTCCTCGTCCTCCACGTGGACTACGATCCTGTGGAGCTTTGGTAGCTCCTCAGGGCTCAGCACCCGGAAGGACGTTTCCCCAATTTTGTTATCGAGGAACAGGCTTTAAACCACGTCTCTGTCTCCTCGTCGGAACAGCCAATGATGGCCGCTCCGTCTTTTTCCCAGACGCCCTCAAAGATCGGCACCTTCGTCCCCTCTGCTATGGAGAGGATCTGGGTCCTCAACAGTCCCTTCAGGCCCTTGATCTCCTCTTGGGTGATCTTCCGTTCCGGGTAGCCCTCGGGAACCAACACCAGTTTCAGCATCTTAAATGCCGCCTGTACGTAGGTACCACCAGTCGTGGCCCGTTTTTCTGGCCGATTTATTTAAGGGCTAGGGGTGTTATGCTCGGGTGTTGGGCGCTTCGCACCCTGCACCCTTGCGTCACTCCCAGCAGGTTTTCCCTGGGCTCCTTCAGTTCCGAGGATCCCCCGTTCCCTCGTGAAGCGGCGCCTCGCGGCTCCGCTGAACTTCGGTCTGGTCCTATCCGTCCCAGAACCGTCTTTGTCAACTTCCTGGTTCGTCAACGCCGCAGGAAGTTGGTTATTGTTTATTTGTATTTAGTTATTAGTGTCCATATTTGGTCCCACGAGTACCACGGCGAAGCGGCCTCAGCCAGTCATAGCCGTGAATGCTGGGGCTTGGCTGATACACTCGGGGATCGCCCGGTATGCGAGGGCACCGTTAGCAACGCAGCACCCCCTGCGCCACGTAACCTTCGGCACGGTAGCTAACACCTTGGCTTGGGGAGTGGGTGCGCGACGGGGCTTTAGGTTCACCGCCCGGTTTCGCGGTTGGCTTGCCCTATTACCACCATTAGCCAGTCTTTTTACTAGCCCCCTTCCAGGCCTCGGGTGTTTCCCCACTTCCTGTCGTGAGCCAGCTAGTCCGTCTGGCTGTTCTCCTATCCGCCCCCCGGAGGCAAGCTCGGTTGGTAACTCAACCCTGTTCTCTGCACCCCGCCACGGGGTTTAGAGAACCCGAGGTCAATGAGTCATAAAGTAAATAAAAAAGGACAGTCATTCAAACCATTCAAAAAATTTGACCATTCAAAAAATTTTATTTTATGGTGCCATCACGAGCGAGAACTCAATCGCTTTGATGTATGCCATAGTTTTCTGTTAATACATTAAATATTAAGAAGCCCCCAACAAAAAAAAATAATTTTCATCACAAGGTTGGAAGAAACTTTTCGGACGAGTGTGAGGGTTGCAGACCGAAGCGAAGCCGAGGATTGCAATCACAGGAGTCTGAAAAGTTTTTCCGACTGAGTGACGAAGCTAATTTTCCTGCACACTGTCTGTAAACGGCATTTGACAGACACGAAGTGTCCATCAAACACCATTTTACAGACATTGTGATGAGAAAATCTTGAACTGAATTATTTAAAAAGGAAAACATCCATTTTGGTAATTGCGATGCATTATCAATAAACATGAGCAGAAATCACTTACAATGAGATAAGAATAGAGTGTGCCAAACTTGTACTCGATTATTCAACATTCAAGGCGGCGGAAAATTTCAAATCATGACCATAAGTGCTCACACAGATACACGGGAAAAATCATCGGAAGTAGTCTTGCGATTGCAAGATTTTTCGCGAAGATTTCTATGAGGGACGTACCTCGGGTAAAAAAATCGGGAGAAATCTGATTTGACATCCATATAATGAAGAATTGGTGAAACGATCCGATTGTAGACTGTTTTGGAAATGTCTCGCGTTTGTCTTGCAAACTCGGAAAGTGAAAATTCAGGATAAAACACGGGGTAAAACGGGTTGAATCTCACATGTTCCATGAATTAATCATGTATCAGAAGTCGCTGCATGAGTCTTTCCAACGACTTAAGGTGTTCAAGTTTCGGCACCGCTCCCCTCCCAGAACCAATCCTTAAATCACCCGCTTCATGACTCTGAAGAATAATTCCCGTCAACTATTGAGTGGGAACTGGTTGGAGAATGCGTTAGGTTGCGACGCTGTAGGTTGTAGGTTCGAATCCCCAATAGGAAAATTTTATTTTATTTATAGGTTATTTAGGTAGGGCTGCGATAGTAATATGCAGAAAATCACGAATTGGACTTATAAACTTAATATTTAACATTTTAGAAGGCTTCACTCATATCTTTCATATATATTGCCTATAATTCAAATATATGATTTGAAATATATGCGAAACATATGCTACATGCATATGAATTGGAAACTCGCACATATATCACATATATCACAGTCCTACAAAATTTGAACTTGTTCTGGCACAGGGATGAGACTGCCACCATTTGAAAGATTTTTTCACGCAGATTTCAAATCCGTTGGCTAAATCTCTCGAAATGCCCTAGTTTCTGAGAAAAAAATGTTAAAATCCTGGAAATGCCCCAAAATCGTATTTTTCAAAATTTAATTAGAAAACAATGTTTGTCTCAATTGAGCTAAAAAAAATGCCAACAAAAAGACCGGAAATTATACTTCCAGATGAGGTGGAGTTATTTTCATTAGGAGCAGGCAATTATTCATAATAAATTCCGTATTTCTTCAATAATATTGCAGTTATTTTTCAAAAGAATGTCATGGCAGCCATAGTCTGAAGTTGTATCCCCACGTGGGATTTTCACCGCCAGATTCGACGGTTAAAATTTAATTACATTTACTTTCATTGCAGTACCTCCATAAACCGTTTTGCCAAAAGCTTGGTTCATTCTCGACGAGAGAAATCAGAATTCTCTTTTCTTCCAGTGATATATTCGGTTCCATTCTCTTAAAGACACTTTTTTTGTGAAATTAAATAAATAAATAATAACCCTCAAATCTGGCGGTTGAAATTTCACGTGGAGATGCAACTTCAGACAATTGCCACCATGAAATTCGTTTGAAAAATAACTACAATTTTAGTGGAGAACTACGGAATTTATTATGAATAATCCCCTGCTCCTAATGAAAACAACTCCACGTCATCTGGAAGTATAATTTCCGGTCTTTTTGTTGGTATTTTCTCAGCTCAATCGAGACAAACATTCTTTTCTAATTAAATTTTTAAAAAGATGATTTTGGGGCATTTTCAGGATTTTAACATTTTTTTTCTCAGAAACTAGGGCATTTCGAGAGAGTTGGCCAACGGATTTGAAATCTACGTGAAAAAATCTTTCAAATGGTGGCAGTCTCATCCCTGTACCAAAACAAGTTCAAATTTTGTAGGACTGTGTAATCGCATAATTGCAGTATATATCATACATACGATTTTCCATACATCAAATTCGGCCAAAAATGCTGTATTACACATATATGTAAAATATATGTGACATATATGGGTCTATATGTTGAATATATGTGGCATATATCCATGATACATTTATTTATATACGTTCCGCATATATAATTTTCCGTGCGGGTATGTAAGGTTCAAAGTAGAAAAATCAAAATATACAGGTTCATAGATAGTACCATCGGCAAAATATAAATTCAAAATATCGGGCCCACTATAACGGGTCCGATATAGCGAAATATAAAGTTCAAAATATCCGAATATAAGGGCCAAAATATAAGAATCAAAGTATAAGGGGCAGAATATGTGTCTAAATATAAGGGTCAAAACTGAAGGGTCAGAATATAAGGGACCAACGATCGGAGTCAAAATATCAGCGTCAAAATCTAAAGGACTCCCCCTCTCCGTCATCACCCTAACAATCAGCACGGAATAATTTAAAATAATAGCAATT